GTATTTCTGGACACTCTCTATCAATATACTGCTGCAACTGTTTTTGAATTATCTTCAGTAAGATTTTACTTGCATGCTATATTAATGATTGTGTTTGATAATTTCCACATTCTGTGGGATCACCTTTCTTTGGAATGGGTACAAATATGGTTTCTCCCAGTCAGTTGGCCAGGTAGCTTCTTCCAAATCTCTTGGCACAACTGAGTGAGTGCTTCCAGCAGGGCATCTGTTTGTTGAAACTTCTCAATGGTATTCTGTCAATTCCTGGAGGCTTGTTCTTCACCAATTCTTTCAGTGCAGCTTCGACTTCCTCCTTCAGTACCATTGGTTCTAGATCATATGCCACTTCCTGAAATGGATGAAGATCAACCAGTTCTTCTTGGTACAGTGACTCTGTGTGTTCCTTCCATTCTTCTTTTGATGCTTCCTGCATCACTTTGCCCATAGAATCTTTCAATATTGCAACTCAAGGCTTAATTTTTTTCTCAGTTCTCTTAGCTTGAGAAATGCCAAGCATGCTCTTCCCTTTTGGTTTTCTAACTGCAGGTCTTTGCACATTTCATTATAGTAATTGGCTTTGTCTGCTCGAGCTGCTCTTTGAAATCTTCTGTTCAACTCTTTTATCTTGTCATGTATTCCATTTGCTTTAGCTACTCTTCCCTCAAGGGCAAGTTTCAGTCTCTTCTTACATCTATTTTGGTCTTTTCTTTCTTTCTCATATTTTTAATGACCTCTTGCTTTCTTCATGGATGATGCCCTTGATGTCAACCCACAATTCTTTTGGTTTTCAGTCACTGGTGTTCGATGCATCAAATCTATTCTTTAGATGGACTCTAAATACAGGAGGGATATATTCAAGGTCATATTTTGGCTCTCATGGACTTGTTTTAATTGTCTTCGAGTTCAAGTTGGACTTGCATTTGAGCAGTTGATGATCTGTTCCACAATCAGCTCCTGGTCTGATTTTGGCTGAAGATATTGAGCTTTTCCATCTCCTCTTGCCACAGATGTAGTCAATCTGATTCCTGTGTACTCCATCTGGTGAAGTCCACATGTATAGCCACCATTTGTGTTGTTGAAAAAAGGTATTTGCAATAAATAAGTCATTGGTCTTGCAAAATTCTATCATGTGATCTCCAGAGTTATTTCTGTCACAAGGCCAAAGTTTCCAACTACTTTGGATTCTTCTTTGTTTCCAATTTTTGCATTCCAATCACCAGTGATAGGCAACACAACTTGATTGCTTGTTTGGTCGATTTCAGACTGCAGAAGTTGATAAAAATTTTCAATTTCCTCATCTTTGGCTTTGGTGGTTGGTGCGTAAATTTGAATAACAGTAGTATTAAAGGGTCTTCCTTGTAGATGTATGAATATTATTCTATCACTGACAGCATTGTACTTCAGGATGATCTTGAAACATGCTTTATGGTGATGAACACCACGTCATTCCTCTTCAATTTGTCATTCCCAGCATAGTAGATCATATGGTTGTCTGATTCAAAATGCCCAAAACCTGTCCATTTCAGCTCACTAATGCCTAGGATATCAATCTTCATGCGTTCCATTTCATTTTTGACAACTTCCAATTGTACTAGATTCATACTTCATACATTCCATGTTCTGATTATTAATGGATGTTTGCAGCTGTTTGTCAATTTGAGTTGGGCCATGTCAGCACATGGAGGTCCTGAAAGACTTACTTTATCCATATCATTAAGGTTTGTTCTACTCTGATCAGGCAGCTCTTTTCCAGTCCTATTTTGAGTGCCTTCTGACCTAAGGGGCTCGTCTTCCTGCACTGTGTCAGACAATGTTTCCAAGCTATTCATAAAGTTGCCAGTAATGTATCAGACAGTGTTTCTCTGCCATTCATTCATAAGGTTTACCCTGGCCAATTTTTGAGAAGTGGATGGGCTCTTCCTTCTTCCTAGTCTGCCTCAGTCTGTAAACTGCATTGAAACCTGTGCACCATGTGTAACTCTGCTGGCATCTGGAACACCAGTGGCACAGCCTCAAGCCTCCCAACAATGTACAAGCCCCACAGGGTGACAAACTGACAAACAAATTTCTCTCGCTTAGCTGTTGGAAACCTCTGCGCCCTCCCCTTACCTAATTCCTACCTGGAAAGTGCCACTTTGTGGTCCCTGGCCACTGCCTCCCTTTCCTGGCTCCAAGAGGCTTGAGCCTAGCCTTGCCTCCTGCCCCTTTACCTGGATCTCCTGCTGCTCCTCAGGTCCCCAGCTGCTCTTGCTCCCTCCCTTTGCAGAGCTACTAGAAAAACATTTTTATACAACATACTTTTCATGCAAAATAATTTTGTCTCCATGGCCAGATTATGGACTAATTGTAGGAAGAGACTGTCTTTAACACCTTAGTATCATCCATAATTTCTTGAAAACATATGCTTACTATATTGCCAACTTAAATTAATGTAAGAACCTTTTTAGTCATGTCACTAGTGAACATCATAACCAGCCTCAAGAAGAATTCTCAAGTTTGTAAGAGTTCTTGACTTTTACAGAGTAACACTGGATGAGAAGGTAAGCCCTTAGACTCTGGTTTTAATTCTAATACTCTACCTGTGTGAATGAATTTTACCAAGTCATTTATCCTTGTTGAGTTCTGTGTTCACCAAGAAGATAAGACTAGGCTATCTCAAAGCTTTCTTCTTGCACTAATGTTCTATGATTCTATGAGTAACAGAATGTCTAAAATATAGATGGACCAACACAAAGTATATTGGTTTTATTTTGGCAACCAAAAACCAAAGCCATTGCTTTGAGTCAATTCTGACTCATGGCTACCCAATGCATTACAGAGTATAACTGCTCTATGGGGTTTTCCTGGCTGTTATCTTCATGGAAGCAGGTCACTAGGCCTTTCTTCTATGGTGCTGCTGAATGGGTTCAAACCACCAAACTTTAGGTTGGTAGTTGAGTGCAAACTATTTGTGCCACCAAGAGCCTTATAATAAGCAAAGTGGATGCTAGATAAAGAAAATATTGATTTAAAAAAAAAAAAGTGATTCTGCCTCAAAAATATTTCACTGTGAAAACAATGCAACATTTCAGTTCTGCTTTTATTAAAGTCAGAGTCAACAGTAAAATTTTAAGTTATATCACTGACATTTCCAGATAAATTATCTGTGGCATTTGCTCCACAAATATCAAAATAGCCCTCTTCTTCTCTAACTTCTAGAAGTCAGCATCTTCATGAATAACTGTCTCCTTTGTCATGAAACCTGAAGAACCAGATGGTATGTGGCTACCATTCCTGAACATTTTTATCAAAAGTTCTATATAAGAATCCCAATCCAAAGGGAGAAAATGCTGAATGTAAAACAAATTCTGCTCTGTAAATGTGTACCCAAAGCACAATTCAAAAACAAAAAAAAAAGATCTATCTATATGGAATCAAATAGACAACAACTTGAAAGATGAAATAGGAATCTTAGAGGGCAAGGAAAGGAGGGTGCAAATGATCACACAACTCAAAGAAAGTAATCAATGTCACAAATTATACATGTAGAAACTTGAATTGGTATATATTTTTTCTCAACAGCAAAATACATACATTCTCAACAGCAAAAATAAATTATTTGAAAATGAAAATTCAGTTTCATTTCTGTCATCATTTTTTGCCTGATCTAGTGGACCATCTCTGACACAAGTAAGCATGGGGGGGTTAGGATTAGAAAATAAGTGGTTGGAAAACTTGATAAAAATCTAGTTTAAAACATGGGCTACCCTAGATTACAGAATGTAACAGGACCTAATTATTTCATGATCTCCAAACCCTTTTTGGAACTGAAAACTGTACTACATCAAAAATAGCAAATTGTGGGATTAAGGTGTAGTAAATTACTTAGTGTGGCTTTTCTACCCATAAGTCTTTGTAAACTCCTAGGTGGAATTTGCCATGAGCAACTGAGGAGCTCCAGATTGCTAAAGTTGTCCATCTGGGGTATTTCTGTTGGGAGTGACACAAAACAATGTTCTGGGAGGTTCCCGCTCTCTCTCAGGTGCTTAGAATTCTGATGTTATGATTGGTTGGTTTGGCCACTCTGCCAGGCTCAAAAGGAGGCCTCCTAGAGACAAAAGTCTCTCTGACTGCTGGCTGAAGAAGGACATGCTCCTGAGAGGCATGCATGGCTGAGACAGAGACGCAAGAGACACGCATTGCTGAGAGAGACACTCAGGGACACACACTGCTGGGAGAGAGACTATGAAAGAATGTTGGCTGAGAGACGTTGGGCTGGGAGAGACAGAGCATTTTTCCTGAACTTGAATTGTAGCCTGGTGCTTCCCTAATAAACCCCGTAATCTGTGAGTTCTGTGTGGCCACTGCAGTATATTATCAAACCCAGGAGAGAGGTGGTGGGTGCTTTGGGAGGTACAGTTGGTGAAAGGGCTGGAGGGAGGCAGCATGTCTGGCCTTGCAGGAATAGGCCTTGGGTTACTGATAGTGACTCTGTCTTCCTTCTGTGGGGTTAGAGGAGGTCAGGAGATATGGTCTCCCTGCCTTTTTAGCAGGGATATTCAGATAGTTACTTCTGCTTCCACATAACATTTGAGGACTTGATTATACTTCACTATCATCCAAACTAAGTGATCTTAAGACAGTTGTATTTAATTTTACTGATACGCCCTGGGATAAATCCAAAACCAACAAGCAGTAAAACTGAAATTAATGAGTATTCAAAAACTTGAACATCTTAAGTATACTGGAAAAGGCATGGAAGTTACAAACTTCCTTAATAAACCAATAAAATAGAATGACATACAGAATTTGTAAACCCTACTAAATGAAATATTCAGTTTATTAGACTATCACTTGATCAATAACTGTTGTTTAATAGTTGATGTTATATAATACACAACTTTATGCTCATTTTTCATGTAGGTAATTTAAATATTTTCCAAAGCAGTTGTTGGTATCTTTAATCTCTAGTCATTTTAGAAAACCTTAACCGAAATTAATTTTTTTAATTTAATAGTTACCTAAATCACTTATTGAACCTGCAATATCCGCCTTTGGTAATTCAACAACTACCTGAAACCAGAACAGTGATAATGAATATTAATACATTTTTTTAACTATGAAACAATCTAAACAAAGCATATCTCTAATATGGTGTGCTATATTGGCTATTATTTATTTCTAAAAATAGAATTGCTTCAGAAAAAAACTGATCATCAACTTTAGAGCTAACATTTTAAATGTTATTAATTCCATTCTTCTGATTTTAATAGTTTCTTCACTCAGTGATTTCATCAATAGTTACATTTTCTATTAATCATCTATGCTGATTCCTTCTCACATCATTCGCTAGCTCTGATACAGTGTCCTAATTTTAATTATATATCCCAAATCCATCACGTATAAACTTTTGTATTCCACTCAACAAACACACACACACAAACTAATAAATCCAATCTTTGCTCTTGATTTTCCCATTTAGTTAATTGTATCATTGTCCTAGTCTTTTCCACTTCCATCTCTCTCCCTCTAATTTAGGCATTTACCTCCCAACTAGATTACCAAAAAGCGAACTAATTAAAAGAGTCTGTGTAGTTTATTCAATGTTCCTTTGTTCATCTATAAATACTCTGAATCACATCTTTACTTACCCAAATATTAAGAACTCCACTTTCATCCAAGGAAGCAATGTGGAATGACAAACCTGATATTTCTAATGAAAACAATTTTAAAAAATTAGAAAGAAATATTTTATAAATAAGGAAATATTTCATAGTTATTGCCTTAAAGATATTTTAAAATAGTGAAGTATCTGTGTACCTTCTTGAGTAGAAAAAGGTGAAAGCACAAAGTTCTGCTTTTTGTAGACAGATGTTGAGATGGGCTCTACTGCTTGAAGAGGACTTTGGTGGTTTACTGATGTAAGGATACCATCTATAATTTGAAAACATAACAGTGTCCCACATATAAGTAATTAGTCAAAGAAATAAAATTGGTTGTATGAATTGACAAACATGAAGGCTTTTCTGGGTCTGAAGGATAAAAGCAGCTACCTAAATCCAAATCTCTCCACACAACATCCCGAAAAACACAAGACCAATATGGAACACAAATAAATGGTGCATGATCATTACTTTCAGCATTACTAGGAAAGAGAGAAGACCACAAACCTCAAAATGCTTATGAAAAGAGAAATAAGCACCAAATTCTAATAAAACTGCCACCATCACTTCAAGTCTGTAGTATGCTGGGCACAGGACAGAAGGCTAAGACTTACCATGAAAAAGAGGGGAGTGAAGCAAAGACTTGTTATACCCAACTCAGTGAAAGACCACTGAACACAGATCTGGACTTGGTAGATCACTCACTAGCTATAGGGAAGGGGCTGGAAAGTGAGAAGTGGCAGCCTTAGAGAATCATGGCCTAGGGGGAAGATGTACTGAGGTGCAACTGTGCTTTCAAAGCTACTAATTATTGCATATTATGGAGTGTAAAGATATAAATATAATCAAAGACTAAAGAGAGAAGTACATTTTAGCTGTTATCTTAATTAGATTAGGAAAGATGGAACAAAAACTACAAATAAATATTTTTACTAGCTATTGGGGAGCATGGGGCTCTGGTAGCATAGTGCCTAAGGCACTTGACTACTAACCAGAAGGCTGGCGGTTCAAACTCACCAGCCACTCCTTGGAAGGAAGATGGGACAATCTACTTCCGTAGTGATACTGCCTCGGAAACCCAAGGAGGGGTCGCTATGAGTCGGGTCTGACTTGACGGCACATAACAACAACAACATTGGGAAGCATAACAACTAAGGCAATTACTGCAAATGGGTATGGGGGCATTACCAGCTGCAACTATCAATAAGTCTAACATGAGGGAAGATGCTTTCATTTTACAGCAGTGGTTCTCAACTGAGAATGAGTTTGGCATTTTCAGATGTCACAATACCATGGGATATGCTTCTGGCATCTAGTAGATGAAGGTCAGGTATTCTGCTAAATATCTCACAATGCACACAATGCACAGGACAATGACCACAATAAGGAATTAACGACCAACGGGTCAATAGTACTGGTGTTGAGAAACCCTGCTTTACAGAAATGCCTTCAGAACAAAAAGTACACACTTTTTTTGCATTATTATACCCTCACCCCCTTCTCTTCTACTTAAAAATCTGAAAGAAATGCAAAGAAAATCAGGCAGAAGACCGGCATCATGGTATGTGGGAAAGAGGAACAAGTGTCTAGTGGGGAAGGCAGGGCTACTGAGAAGATAAAGAGTGGTGTAAGAGAAAAATACAGATCAGGGGATAAGGCTGCCTGAGTGAAACCCTTGTCAGCATGGCTGCAGCCAACACTACAGAAAGACACAGTCTACAGAGGCCAACAGAACTGCACAGAGTTACAGTGCAGCTTTCGAGTCAGACCCAGCATGAGGACATGCTCTGCCTGTAAGTAGCTGATGTGACCTTGGACTAATTTAGTCTTTCTGAACCTTATATAATATGACAGAAGTATAATGGTAGTGGTAGTATAGGGCTATTATGATAATTCAATGAGACAATGCATACAAAGCACTTATAAAAGGTCCTAGAACAAAGGAAATGATTACTAAATAGCTGCCGTTGCTATGTCAAATATGGTATGACATAAATTATTCCTGGAAGCAAATTAAGGATCCTGAAATGTCAAGTTGTTCTGGTTCTTTTCACATCCCCAAGAGTTGACTAATTTACTTACCACTTCAAGTACTAGTTGAATTACCTATGCTAAGGAAGCACACATATAGCAATAAACCTTTTACTATCTAATTTAAAACTAAGAGTTACTTCATCCAAGTTTTTTGGAATCCATACATTTAATAAAAAAGAAAATTCAAATCACTTTTGCCAACGGAAAAGTATTACCTGATGGATGGATTTTTATGGGGTTTTTTGTTTATTTGTTTATCAAATGACTCTTTTGGCACTGGACACAAGTCAGATTTCCATTCACTGAGATAATCTGACTGAATAAATGTAAGTAAATGTAAAACATTACTAAAATCTGTCATGGCTTTTCTAGAAGATACATAATCATATAATCGGCAAACAGATGGCACTGACCAGTAGAAAATGTTGATATCCTGAATGTCCAAAAACAATCGTTCAGCTTCACATATTGATGTATTCTAGAGTCTTCTCTTAAGTCCCATACAACCACGGAGCCATGTACTGTTCCAGCAAACATTAAAAATGCTTTAAATGGGCTAAAGCAGCAACATGTGACCTAAAAAGCAAAACAAAACACACATACACAGAGAAATTGGATAACTAAAACATATTAGAACTGTGTTCACAGAAGTTAGGTTTACTGAGTTTGGTATTGATCCCTTTTCATTTTGCACTTGTAGTCCTATTAAAGGAGCTCTGGTGGCATAGTGCCTCAGGCATTTGACTGCTAACCAGAAGGCTGGCGATTCAAACCCACAAGCCACTCCTCAGAAGGAAGGTTGGGCAATCTACTTCCGTAGAGATACTGTCTTGGAAATCCAAGGAGGGGTTGCTATGAGTCAGATCCAACTTGACGGCAATGAGTTTGGTTATTTTGGTTTTTTACTATCTTTTTGGTCAATAGTCATGATACATTACAATATACAGTGGTGTTACAATGCAATCAAGAAATGTATTAATAGAATTAAACTGAGCTACTAGCCTTAAGAGGACCTCTGGTGGCATAGTGTCTAAGGTATCTGACAGCTAACCAGAAGGCTGACAGTTCAAAACCACCAGCCACTCCTCGGAAAGAAGACTAGGCAATCTATTTCCATAGAGATACCACCACAGAAACCCAAAGAGGGGTTGCTATGAGTCAAACTGACTCGATGGCAGTGAGCTAAATCGACACAATGGCAGTAAGTTTGTTTTTGTTATTTTTTTAGTTCACAGTTGGATACATAAAATGTGCTCAAGAATTTCTTGCATTTATCTAAACAGGTTAAGCCTGAAAAGGGTGGACACAAGGGAAAAAAAAGAAGGACAAAAGGAAAAGGTAACCACAGGGAGGAAGTGGGAAGACAGTTGTTACATTATGGGGATTGCAATCAGTATCATGGAACAAAATGTGTGTGAACTGTTGTATGGAAAATGAATTTGCTCTGTAAACCTTCACTCAAATCACAATTTAAAAAAAAAAGAAGTGATTCCATTCTTTGTCATTTTATTTCCAGTATGTTGTTGCTGTTTGCTGTCAAGTCAGTTCTAACTCCAAGCAACTCCACAGGACAGAGTAGAACTGCACCCTAAGGTATCCTAGGCTGGCATCTCTAGGGGAATAGATCTCCAGGTCTCTACTCCCATAGAGTGGCTGGTAGGTACAAATCACAATCTTTTGGTTAGCAGCAGAGATCTTAACGATTGCACCAGCAGGGCTCATTTACAGTATACAGCACCCTTAACTGCAAAAAAGTTATTATTTGTCAAACCCCCAAAACTGACAACTGTAAAATATATTTTTCTCTGAAGATTTGCAGAAAATCAGTGGTTTTGACAGAAGTCAAGGAGCATATAAATAGGAAAATACAATCACATACTGTCCAATTGACAAGAAGAGCTCTTCCCTGTATCTGTGTGGTCATCAAACCATGGAACTATCAGTCAGGGGACTGGTAAATGCATGAGACCAGGGATGATGAATAAAGAGAAAAGTTTGGCTGCCTACCAGAAGGTTGGTGGTTCAAACCCACCAGCTGCTCTGTGGAAGGAAAATGGAGCAATCTATTTCCATAAAGATTTATAGCCTTATGGGGTTCTCTTTGAGTCAGATTTGACTCAATGGCAGTGGGTTTGTTTCTTTGTTTATTTTTTAAGGACTATGAATAAATGACAATAGAGTTCTGATTGTTTTATACTATTTTAAGAAAGTTCAAGCATATTTTGAAAATCTCCAAGACTCAAACAGGGCAAGACAAATAATGTATATCTAGAATTCCTGAGCTATGCTCAGGTTAGAAAATGTTTTTATTAAGCCTATTAACCGCATTCATTAACTAATTCTGAATTGACCTAAGAGGCTGCTCTATGATGAGCATGGTTTCCTCAGTCACATACTAGATAAGTTTCTCTGAGTTGGTCTTTCTAATTAATAATTTCTAAAGACAAAACAAATACATCCATGTGTTCTTGTCACAACTGCAACATTAACTAATGACAGCGGGTTAAAAAAATACAGATTTTTTTTTAAGTTCTTTCTAAATCTCTTTCTTAATCTGTGCCTATACCCTTTCTCTCTTCTCTGATCCTTACAATTATCATTACACCCCTGACACTGTGACCACCTGATCCCACCCTTCCTTCCATTAAATGTGTGATTCTCCTTCTGAATTATACCTTTGAGTCACATATCAGAACTTTCTGTGGACTTGAAGGCTGCCAAATATCCCAGATACAGAGGATGTATCTTCCATCCAGTTGATCTGAGAATGTCTTTTCAGGTAAATCATGAACAGACACCATGGTCTGCCTCTGAACTTGAGAAGCTTGCAAACAGGATACTTTTCGATCTAAAAATAAAATTAAGAAAAAAATACTTTTTGCATTTTAATGATCTACCAGAGTCTATGTTAAATTAGCATTCCTAAGAACACTCAAATACATTTCAGTTGATCAAATAACCAAGATGGTTTCAAAACTGTCCATATATAAAGTATGTATTTCCATAAATGGCCACAGTCTGTATTTCAAAATGCTGTCTGAGCTGATCTTAATGGCTTTTCTAAAAAGAAAATCCTTCGGTTTTGGTAGCAGTGTTGCCCAGGACAGTACGTTTTACCTTTTGTCTGCCAACTATTTACATAAAGGCCAAATTGCCTGAACATGTGCTTTGAGTCAGACTGTTACAGCTAGAGACTCACTGGAAATAATCTAATTTGATCCCTTTCCTTTAATATATTAAGACATTAGTTTTGTTGTTGTTGTTGTTGTTATGTGCCGTCGAGTTGGACCCGTCTCATAGCGACCCCTCCTTGGGTTTCCGAGGCAGTATCACAACGGAAGTAGATTGCCCCATCTTCCTTCTGAGGAGTGGCTGGTGGGTTTGAACCACCAGCCTGCTGGTTAGCAGTCAAGTGCCTTAGCCACTATGCTACCAGAGCTCCCAGACATTAGTTTTAGAAAATCTAATTCTCTTTAAAATAATCTTCAGAACATCACACTGAATACTCTTTCTTTTAAATTTTAGGTAAAGCTGAGTTCAGTTACAGAGATATTTTTGTTATTGTTTTTATGTGCCGTGGAGTCAGACCCAACTCATAGCAACCCCTCCTTGGGTTTCCAGTATCACTATGGCAGTAGATTGCCCAACCTTCCATCCAAGAGTGGCTGGTGCTATTCAATTATAGTGAAGGAACCAAATTCCAAGACCTTGTTGCCAATATCTGTTTTGCCTCAACAATTCCTACAACTCAACAGATGATGCTGATTGAAGGTTAAAGTGTTGTTGTTAGGTGCCATCGAGTCATTTTGGACTCATAACAACCCTATGCACAGCAGAATGAAACATCACCCGATCCCGTGCCAGCTCCGTGATCCTTGCTGTACTTGAGCCCACTGTTGCGGCCACCGTGTCAACCCATCTCATTGAAGGCCTTCCCCTCTTTTGTTGACCCTCTACCTTACCAAGCATGACATCCTTCTTCAGGGAATGGTCCCTTCTGACCACATGACCAAAGTAGTTGAGACAAAGTCTGGCCATTCTTGCTCCCAAGGAGCATTTCGACTGCACTTCCTTCAGGATAGATGTGTTAGTTCTTTTAGCAGTCCATGGTACTTTCAGCATTCTTTGCCAGTACCACAACTCAAAAGCATCAACTCTTCTTCAGTCTTCCTTATTCATTGTCCAGCTCTCATATGCATATGAGGTGATTGTGTTGGATTGGGTTCTCTAGAG